GATTGCTGGGTGTCGGAGGGCTGAGTCGAGCCAGTGCGGCCATAGACAGAGTCACGACCGGGCATGCCCTGGTTGAAGGAACCGGCGTTTGCAGGGGAGGTGTGGTCGTAGGAGAAGGCGTGGGGCTGCTGTCCATACATTCCGCCCTTGCCACCGTAGGGGCCGTACTGCTGGCTGCCGTAACCGTATTGGTTGTTGTGCGGCATACCGTAGTGCTGCTGCTGCTGCTGCTGTTGTTGCTGCTGCTGCTGTTCCTCATAGCGGCGGGCGTCATCATACATTGGGCGGTTTCGGCCGTACTGGTGCTGCTGGTTCATCTGGTTCATGTACGAAGCGTAATGGGGGTTGTTTTGGTAGTAGGGGTAGTTGTAGCCATAGCCGTGGGCGGCCTGGCCTGGCATCTGCTGAGGGGTCTGGGTCGTGGCAGGCAGAGTCGGGTTAGGGGTGTTGTGGCCACTGTTGGTCGCATCAACGGGACCGTAGCGGCCGGGGGGTTGAGTAGTGGGGATTTGAGGCTGAGCCTCAGCAGCAGAGACACCGAATCCAGCACCAGCACCAGCACCAGCACCAGCACCAGCCCGGGCACCGGCATCCTGGGTCTGACCATAGTTACCATAGTTGTTGTAGTAGGGGAACCGCTGGTCGGAGGCGTAGAAGGAGGAGTAATCGGCGCCAGTGGTGGCAGCGGGCTGAGCGGGAGCCTGGTTAGCGAAAGGCTCTTGGATCTGCTGCTGGGGCTGGCTGAAGGGATCCGCGAAGCGTGAGAAGTCGCCGAAAGACTCGGCGGCAGAGGCTTGAGGGACGGGAGGAAGGCCAGGTGCGGGGCGAGCGGCGCCAGTTGTCTCACCAGCGCCCTGGGATGAAGGAGGCAAGGAAGCCCGAGGAGCGACAGGAGAGTGTTGAGGAGGTTGAGGACGGGTCTCGGCCTCCTCGCGGTTCTCGTCAATATCCACGGCATCACCATTCAGGCCCATGCTGCCGAACTGAACGGCGGCACGGTCCACAGCATGGTTACCGGGCATAACCACAGCCTGCTGCTGCTCCATGACACGGCGCTGGAAGCCAGGAGTACGGCCATGCTTCAATGCACTGCCGGGAAGACCAGATTGAGGGGCGCGAGAGGGAGTGACGTTAGCTGCCAAAGTCGGGTCGAGGGCGCTGCCAACGGTGCTGGCAGCAGTCGCGGTAGGGGCAGGGGCAGAGACATCGGGGATTTGTTCGAGGTTTGTTTCGGTCAAGTCATCGGTGGGCAGCTTCGGGGCGGAAACGGGGATGGCAGGGATAGCGGGTTGCGCAGGCTTCGCAACGGGGGTCTTCTGGGAGGCGGCGGGGACGGGGGCAGGGACGGAAGCGGGTTCAGGAGCCTTCTTCTGCTCGGTGAGGGGCTCAACGGGCTTTTCGAGGGCAGGCGCAGGCACAGGAGCTGCTGTCGGGGCCTTCTTCTGGGGCGGAGCTGGTGCGGGTGTGGGTTTGGCAAAGAGGCTTGCCCATCCCCCCCTTCTTGGGGCCGCCCTCAGGAATCGCACTGGTCTTCGCCTCGGCCGACTGTGTGGTCTCAACAGCTGCGGGTTGTTCGACCTCTCCTCCCACCTTGGGAGCCACGGGCTCCGTCACCGGGACAGTGGCTGCGGGCTCCATAGCGCTGGTAGTTGTGCGGGTTCCATTTGCAGTCTGGGCACCTGCGCGACCACCACGACCGCCACGACCCCGATCTCCACGGGCACGTCCACGGCTCTCGAATCCGCCACGACCACGTCCACCACGGGCGGAAGCTGAAGTAGGCTCGGTCTGGGTGTTCTGGGCTTCCTTGGGCTTGGGCCGAGTTCGGTCTGTGGCCTTTTTGACCTCTCCCCACTGAGACACGTTGCCTAAGGAAAAGAAGCAAGAAATGTCAATAAAAACCGGCCAGGGATGGGACGTATAGTCTCATAGACATTGGGGTGATAAGGGAATTCCAACCTTCGGTAATGCGCACAATTGCATCCTCGAGCTCGCCATTCGAGTCTTCCAGGGCGAAAATGAGGTCTTCATCCTTCCAGTCTGGGAACAACTCCTTAAGAGTGGGTAGAGTGTCGGAGTACTTCTTTCTCATTTGTCCAATCTCACCCTCTTCGAATGAGGGAGCGTCTGAGTTGTCGGCATTCGCAGATCTGCTGCTTCCACCACGACCACCTCTGGAGCTGAAGCCACCACGGCCACCACGGGAGGATACTCTGCCGCGCGCAGACGATCGGCTTTGAACTTCGGACATGATGTTAAAGGTATATGTGAGATGAAACAGACGGAATTGGGAGGAAGGTCACGATGGATGTCGCAAGGGTGTGTAAGGAGGAAGGATCTGAATGGTAGAATGAGTCGGATGCACCCTCGCAAGAGAGGAACAGCACCAAGACCACAGGGCACAAAGGCCGATAAGAATCCAGAGAGAGGAGGAAATATAAATTGGGGGGGGAAGGAGTAGAGCGTCGGAGGGGAGGTCGCGGAGAGAAGGAGGGATGAGATGTGAATGGGGAAGGCGAAAGCTCAGAGTTCGCGGATGTGTTGCTCGCAGTCGCAGCTGGTCTTGGCACCGCCTGGCTTTTTAGCGAGTGGCGCCTGGCGCCCATTGGCCTTACTTTACGATTCCTGTATATCTTTTATCTTTTAATCTTTGATGATTTTACCTGGATTGGTATTAGCGTCTATTTAACATTGAACAATACTCTAGTTATCACTTCAATTCCCACGCCAAGCATCTCCAATATCTGACTCGAAACCCCATCTCTGTGTGTGCTCGTCATCCACTTTGGGCACCATCCCGGCTTCCTTCCCTCTGACCGCCCACCCCTCGCGGCCCGGGGCTGATCTTCCTACATACACTCGACGCACAAGGGGGGAGTCATACCATTGATTCACTCACCGACATACTCATCATGAAGGGAACATCGATCTTTCAGTTTAAGTCCTGGCCAAAGATTCATCAGCCGTTACCCAGGAGCCCGCGCGAGTCCCAGCAGTTACTCAGTGCCCTCACCTCCTCATTTCGCCGCCAGTTGGACCACGCCTATCCCGTAACAAACAATTCCAATTCCAGTCATGACGCCGATCGACAACCCTTGAATACCGACTCCTCCGCTCATGCGACCGATCAGCACCTACACACCATCCTGGATAACCCTTTGTTTCGTATCGTACCTCCCAAGGGGGCACCTCCTCATGACCACCACGCAGTTCGAAGGCTGGAGGAACAACGACGCCTGGCCACGGAGCCCATGCTGGTTCTCGATGAGATGGTAGCCTCGGGTTCCGCCACAGCAGCAGTCATGCTTGACTGTCTAAAGTCACAACTTCTCCTGGCTAGGTCGACTACCGACATGAAGTCATCTCGAGCGGGCTCGAGAGTGGAGCATTGGTTCTGGTCCTCTGACGGAGCTTCTAGACAGATGCTCCTTCAGTCCCGAGGATCAACTGCTGCTTTAACTAAATTCATGGTTGCGGAGGGTTTACAGTCCACCATCTTGGAATGGTTGAAAATGGCGCTAGCCCAGGACCTCGGCGGATACAACGGCCGAATGACAGAAGAACAGTCCCGGCAAACCGTTGGCCACCTTCTCGTCAGCTTCATAGAGGCTGAGATTCGATACGGAGCGGGCTTCGGCTCGGCTCTACAGTACTATCTTCGAGTCTGCCAAATGCACTTTTCTACCCATCTCGCGGACGGTGTGCCTTCTGGCAAATCAATGCTTCTCGCAGCCGGTGCTCACTTGAGCCGTACAGCCATGGACCAAAAGCCATCCATCAAGCAAGTTTCACAGGGTCTTTACGAGGAATTCTCCGAGGTTATTTCAACTCTGTCATCTTCCCGGTCTTTGCTGTTCGCCTCCGTCGCACTATGCCACCCCGGAAAGCAAAATCCCCAACCTTTTATTCGCTTTGTAGATGGTCTTTCGCAGGCTAGGTTTCAGACCTGGTCCGAAGCTAGACGGGATGCTTTCCTGCGCATTGGCTGTGACACTCTCCGCATTTTAATTGACCGGAAGAAGATTCGAGAGGCCACCAGCCTAGCGCAAAAAATCCAACTCGTTCTCCCAGAGGAAACGGCCACTGCTTCGATTGAAGCGACTCGCACTCGCACCCGCACCGCTGCAGAGGAGGATTACCTGCTCTCTCGCTTGGATTTGAATTTGACCTAATGGACGGGTTGTAAACTCATCGAACTTACATTCCCATCTCCCCGTCACCCCATGCCGTTCCTGGTACCAGAGTACCGGAGCCAGACCCCTCAGGGCCTCAGGGGCCAGCTGGTATTATACTGGTCCCTGCTTCGAGACGCATCGCCTCTCGTCTTCATTACTTGGAGATTCCCCACCCAACTCCCAGGCATTGCCCGAATCGACACGCGCAATTCGAATAAGCCCCAGCGCCATCTACACATTCCCAAATCATGGAAACGCCAGATCGCTATGTATGGAGAACACTGTTTCTCCGAGCGACGATCACCGAGTTGTGGCTGGCTGTCGGAGCGCTGCAGTGCGATGGCGATGATCTCAGGTACTCCGCACAGACTACTCCACAGTGGCTGCGCCATCCCTCTACGGTACGAGTACATTCATCATCCCATTTGGTCATTGCATTGGCAACCCTCTGGAACGAAAGAGACCAGAAAGCAACCCCAGAATCAACGACGGATTTAGCAGAGGGCAATGACGTTGGAATGTCCTGTGGTGGAATGGGGACCAAGCTGTGCGACGACAGACGGGGTCGTGGGCGGCGAATCAGCCCTGTACTGCATGGTACATTATGAATGGGGTTAGCGCCCCCCAGCTGCTCTTAGTAAACGTCACCGCGCAACCTCACCTCTTTCCCTCAAAGATCAATCGATCCCATTCCAGCTCCTGTTTTTCCTTGTAAACCATCATCTTCTTCTTAACAACCCTTTTCCCACTCTCGCGACTCCGTTTGTCCCGTGAAAGCCTTCATTCCTCGACGCACGTGCCATTATCTGACATCATCGATCCACCATGGCCACTGAGGGCATCTTCTCTGCGTACAACGCTCCCCCAGCTTCCGGTACGTTTTTCACACCGATGGTAGCGATTCTATGAGCAAATTGGTCGCACCAAACATGCTCTATACATTTCATCCCCCAGACAGAGTCCGATGGTGGCTCGCCATCGTGGTAATAATTGTCTCGCTTCCAGTATGCGCTGACTAAGGATTTCCAGCTGCTACGCCAGTGGTCAGCGAACAGTCGCGACCGGTTCACAGTGGATTGAATACAACCCAGAAAGAAAGCGAAGGCTCTTTTTTTGAAAAGTCAAAGGCGGCAGCCGGCGGCGAAAATCCAGAGGCTCCCAGGTCGCCGCAGCAAGTCCAGCCAACTGCGGAATCGTCCATAAAGCACCCGCTCAGCGGCTCCATCGGGTCTTCGGAACCCAATGCCCCAGTAGAGAGTCGAAAGGGAGAGGCTGATGCTACCAAACCAGAGCCGCAGACCGGCGAAAAGCGTGCTTTTGATTCTACTGTCATCGCCAATTCGGCTCCGGCTCCTCCTTCGGTCCCAGCGCCTGCTCCGGCTCCAGTCTCTGAAATTCCGACTCCAGCAGCTCCGGCCCCTGCATCTATTCCTGACGCCACTTCTACATTCGAGCCTATCACCCATCCGGCCCCGGATCCAGCTCCGGTGCCTGTCCCAGTCCCCGCCCCGGCTCCTGCATCGGATGAAAGAGACAAACCGCTCCCTGAGAAGTCGGACGAGCCAGAAGCCAAGAAGCAGAAAGTCGACCCGGAGCCTTCCAAGGATTCCAATAGCTCTGCACCTTCAGGTTCTGTGGGGAAGGCCAACGGAGAGCAGAAGAAGCCTGCGCCCACCAAAAAGGAGAAGGTGAAAGATGCCGTGAAGAAAATCATCCCAAGCGATGGGCCCGGTAGCCGCACCCGCAGCCGTACCAAGCCCACTTAGGACTCTAGCCACTGAAGTGCTCTAACTTCACGCTTTAGCTGTGCTTGTTCTGAGGACCCGCTTCCAAGCGCACCTTTGACTGTCTGTGCTCGTTGTGTTTGACTACGAAGACGATTCCTGTGATGGAAACTTTATAGGTGGTATTCTAATCAGCAATCAAAAGTATTTTTAATAAAATAAGTTTCTCGTAATCCCTTAATACTTATGTGCTTGTACTACTCCTACTCTTATTGGACACACCCCGACTGCTTGATGCGGGAGGCATCGCCGATGATCGGGCTGAGTCATTTTCGGACCGGAACAACTACCCCGCCATTGCTGTCATAGCAGTCAAAAGTGCAATTCGGCGGTCACTTTTCTTTTGTTGAACATTTTTACGAAACACTCAATTCTCCAACCCCATTCATTCATAATGCCTGGACAAAAGATTTGGCTGCGCGCCGAGACCAAGCCCGCTGAGGCTCGGTCTGCTTGTCAGTGCCCCTCCCCCACCAACGAATTCTGGGGGCGACTTATCAGCTCATAGAGAGGGTTGCTTGCTAACGAATTGGAATGAATAGTGACCCCAACCACCTGCAAGGCATTGATGGATGCAGGCTACGAGGTGACTGTCGAGCGTTCCACACAACGTATTTTTGACGGTAGGTGCCCTTGGTTTGGACTTTGATTCCAATTCCCCAACACGTTGATATGAGTCAACCAACTAATCACTTTTCTTAGATGAGGAATTCTCCAAGGTTCGCCCTTCTCCGCTCAATCCCTTCCTTTCACAATTGCAACAATCCTAACGAAATCTATTGGGTATAGATCGGAGCTCCTCTTGTCGCTGAGGGCTCGTGGGTTAAGGACGCCCCCAAGGATGCCGTCATCCTGGGCCTGAAGGAGCTTCCCGAGGATGATTTCCCTCTGGAGCATGTTCACGTCACTTTTGCCCACTGCTACAAGAAGCAGGGTGGTTGGGATCAGGTTCTGAGCCGCTGGTCCCGTGGCAAGGGTCTACTGCTTGATCTGGAGTTCCTCACCGATGATGTTGGCCGTCGCGTTGCTGCTTTCGGCTTCTCCGCTGGCTATGCTGGTTCTGCACTTGCTGTCAAGAACTGGGCCTGGCAATTGACTCACCCCGAGGGTACTCCCCTGTCCGGTGAGGTCCCTTACGCCAACCAGGATCTCCTGATCGAGTCTGTCAAGGAGACCCTCGAGGCTGGCAAGAAGGTCGCCGGCCGTACCCCCAAGATCCTTGTTATTGGAGCTGTATGTGATGTTCTACCTTTTTTTTTTATGTTAATCCCTTCCCATTTACTAATCTTGCTGTAGCTCGGCCGCTGTGGAAAGGGTGCCGTTCAGCTCGCTAAGGATGTTGGTGTCCCCGAAGAGAACATCATCCAATGGGATATGGCCGAGACCAAGAAGGGTGGTCCTTTCCAGGAGATCATTGATGCCGACATCTTTGTGAACTGCATTTACCTCTCCGATCCTATCCCTCCTTTCGTCAACACCGAGACTCTTTCCTCCCCGACCCGCAACCTTTCTGTTGTTTGCGACGTCAGCGCCGACACGTAAGTGACCACTAGTATTCGTCACCCTGGCCATTCTTCCTTAACACTTTCCAGAACAAACCCCCACAACCCTATCCCCATCTACGACATCACCACCACATTCGACAAGCCGACTGTTCCAGTTACTCTGCCCGCTGGTACCCAGGGCCCTCGTCTCAGCGTGATCAGCATTGACCATCTCCCCTCCCTCCTTCCCCGTGAGAGCTCCGAGATGTTCAGCGAGGCTCTGTTGCCCAGTCTCCTCCAGCTAAAGGACCGGACCACCGCCCGTGTGTGGAAGCAGGCCGAGCAACTCTTCGACGAGAAGGTCGCTACTCTGCCCGAGTCTCTGCGTGCATAGATGCGCGTTCTAGCTATGAAGATATATGACTTGATTGTGCGCTGATAGATTTTCGTTTGGTTTGGTATGGATATAAGGCTGAGGCGGAAATACTACATAAAAGTCTTTGCATGTCCATACAACACAATTTCGGGACTAAATAACTCGACTACGTACTCGAGACACTTTACCGAAACAAACATTTTTCCTTGCCTCGAGATCCTAGCGACTGGAAGCATCTGACTTTGAGTTGGCTGTAGCAGTATTTCTATTTTAGTACTACTAGTACTAGGTATTCATGGATGTTGGTGGCTTTCTCGGGCAAGTCCGCCTCGAGTCAGCCACTGGCACCCAGGAATGAAGATCAGCTGGGCATTGCCCAGGTGGTAGGCATCAATTTTTTCCAGGGTTTTGCTTGACTACCCCTACTAGTAGTAGTAACATCACGGTTGTACTATATTCAAAACCGAAGGGCTGGTTTCTCATAAAAGTTACCGTAGTGTACTCAGATGTCCGTCTGACGTATAGTCACTGGCACCGGTGGACTAGCATAGAATGATATATATTTCAAATGAGACTGCCCAGGTGCTCACTCATAAACGAGAGCCCCCCTCAACAAAAAGAAGACTTCTACCAAGATCACAATCAATTCTCACTTCTTTAACCGCAACAAAAATGCGGGGTTTCATGAATTGCGGACATCCGAAAGATCCGTCGCGGGGGAGATGATTCGATGCAGCCAAGCGGAGCGCCCCAATGCACTGGATAAGTATTCAAGGCAGGTTCAAGCAGATTTACTTAGCCTGATACCCCGCCCAGGCATCCGAAGAAGTCGAACCCGACCTCTCGAATTGGCTCGGAGATTCGCCCTTGAAGCAGGACCGAGATGTGAGAGTAAGATGAAATCCCTTGCACCGTGACCCTGGAACTTGAAGGGGGCCCCATTTTCTCCGCATGAACACTCCGGTCCACTTCCGGTTACTCATTCTCTTCCCCATATCCGCTTCAACACTGGCACTCTCACTCTCACTCTCACTCTCACTCATTCCAGTAAACTGTCCCTGACTGCCTGTGCTTACTCTCTTTCCTGGACACTTGCCGCCGTTCTTTCTTCCCATTCGCCACCATCGATCTGACCATGGGGAATTAGATGAATTGTGAAGTCTGACCTACCTCGACATTTACGCCACGAAATCCCCCGAGACCGAGACCTTCTTCCCTCCCCTCCCCTCTTTGCCACATACTCGATGCAAGAAAGGCCCACTACGGTCGCCGCATACGCGGCTGGGGCTTCACTCGCCGCCGTCGCTCTATTCTACGTCTTCGGCCCCAACTACACAATCGACGGAGACGAGTCCAATGACAGCAACCGCAAGAAAAGCATCGTTGGCCTCTCCAATGTCGCCAATGACTGTTTCATCAACTCGGTGCTCCAGGCCCTCGCCGGTCTGGGCGACCTGCGCGTCTATTTGATCCGTGAGTTGCACCGGCGCGAGCTGGATGGTCCGGATATGTACCACGCGGTGCCGAACGAAGACGAACTTCCACGCGGACAGCGGCCGGACAAACTGCGGGATTTGCAGCAGGGAATTGTCACAAAGGCATTGAAGGAAATGCTGGATCGGTTGAACGAGCGTCCTATCTACAAGAAGACCATCTCCGCGCGCGGCTTCATCGAGGCCCTTGAATTCGCGTACCGCACACGCATTAGCCGCAACCAACAAGACGCGCAGGAATTCCTGCAGATTGTGCTGGAGCGGCTCTGCGACGAATACCATGCTGGTGTCCGGGCTCGGCGGCGCGCACTTGGCCCCATTGGAGCACCTGCTGGTTCAGGCGCGGTGGGTGCAGAGTCTGAGGCCGAGAGCCCGGACAGCCCGGGGGTCGAAGTGCGGATTGATGATGGATCTGCCAATGGACTTCCTGCCATCATTGATAACAAATTGAGAGAGATCGACAATGAGGCTGGATTTCCTCTTGAGGGTAAACTGGAATCGCAGATCGAATGCCAGTCTTGCCACTACCAGTACAAACCCAATCAGACTTCGTTTGTGAATCTTACACTGCAGGTGCCCCAGAAAAGCTCGACCACCCTGAATTCTTGCTTTGACGGTCTGTTGAAAACCGAATACATTGAAGATTTCCGATGCGACCGGTGCCGCCTACAGCATGCCGTCGACATGAAGATTTCCGAGAAGATCCGGACTAGTTCACAGAGCGATCGGGATCGGTTAGGGAACGAGATTGAGCGACTCCGGGATGCCCTGGAGAATGACCCTGAGCGCGAACTCGACGGCATTGAGTTTCCACCAGCAGAGCTTGCGCCCAAGCGACGAATTGCTCGACACATGCGTATCACGTCCTTCCCCAAAATCATCGCAGTCCATCTGTCGCGGTCGATCTTTGATCGCAGTAGTTCATCGAAGAACGCTGCCAAGGTGTCATTCCCCGAGCGATTGCCCCTGGGAGGAATCTTGAATCAGACGTGGTTTAAGCTGCTTGCCATTGTTTGCCACAAGGGCAGCCACCACAGCGGTCACTACGAGTCGTTTCGCCGCAATCACCTCTATGCGCCATTCTCCACCCCAGAGGTCTTTAGCTCCTATGCGGCAAGCCGAGTCGCTAGCCAGAACCCGTCCGAGGCACCGAGTCCACGATTGATGCCACGCAGCAGCCCTGATCCTGATACAGGTGCCAGCAGTGGACTATCCACAGCGACTTCCTCCACCTCCCTTTCGGGTACGTCGCCGTCGACGCAGCTCACGCCGCCACTGCCTCGTCCCACTACGTCCAGCTCGCGGCGTTCCTTCCAGAGCACGTTTTCTCGCTCGTCGCGCTCGTCGACACCACAGCCTACGGTGGATTCGGATAGCAATAGTCCATCGACGGATCAAGGACGGTTCAGCATCTCATCGGCCACGCGCTCTTCCCGGAATATCCCCCGGTCATCGGGCGAGCCCCCGTCAGGAGTCAGTTCGCGGCTTCGACGGCGTCGCAAGCCGAATGACCGATGGTGGCGAATTTCGGATGAAAAGATCAAAGAGTGCAAGACCTCGGACGTGCTGGGCATGCAGAAGGAGGTCTACATGTTGTTTTACGAGATTGAGAAACCGGACTCAAGTCCCGCGGATGCGCGGACGTGAGAGGTCCGGGCCTCGGTTTGCATCGCATCGCATCCACCATCACCACCAGCACCACCAGCACCACCACGACCTATCCCATTCCATTCCAATTGTTGTTTCATATTCATTTTCTCCCCTTTGAGGTCTTTGTCCCCTCCCCAGGTGTCATGTGGATGATAGAGATGGAGTTGAGCCTAGTACATAACCAAACACATGCATATATGCGTCGGACGCGTTGGTGGGGCCGAGGGGCAGCGCGCAAGAAAAATAGAGAATAGAGAAGAGAGAAGCGAAGGCAACGCATCGATGGGTGTTTAGTGATATTCCGATCGTTTCAAGTTCCTGTAGGTGTAGTCATGACTGGTTAATAGGAGTGGTAGTACTAGTTACTACTAGTGTAGCTGTGGTAACCAGGCACTCCGTTGAGTGCCCAACCGGTTGCCCCGCTGATGTCACCGCTCCAACGCAGCTCCGAATGCTTGGAGGGGTTCGCCAGGGTTCTCCAATGCTCCAAGTCTTGCAGGATTGCAGGATGTGGGATCTGGGAAATGCAGGATATAGCAGGATATAGTCCAGTAGGAGCTAGCTAGATATGAGTACACCATGTACGGAGTGGAACTCGGCTCGCCGGTCGGGGAGGGAATTCCTCGGTTCCCGGACGAACAAATTACGGAGGGGGAAGAAGTCTTTTTCGGTATACGGAGGCCATGCTCTAGATGTATACAACAGGTCCTCTACTAGCAACCATGGCTGTAGAGTGACTCTCATAGGCTATATCATATCATGGCACAGTGGCCATCGAGTAAAATGCTTACCTTAATTGTTTAAGGGCTATCAATCCAGCATGCATCATTCATTATACTATTTCTTGTAGCTGCAGGAGTAACTGATATCCACCATTACCATATTACCCCTCCGTTGAGCAACCGACGGTCGGGATCATCACGGGGAGACTCGGAGGAGTACGAGTATATAATAGAATTGACTCTCCTCTGAAACTGAAACTGAAATCATTCTGATCTAAGTTCCACGGGTCCAGATCCACTTATTCCTTTCCCACCGGTGAGTAACTTCGATGACGTTTAATGTTGCCCCTCCTTATTCCAAACCTGCCCGCTTTCGTCGTCCGGTAAAGCGTGGGTGATTACCGTTCCTTCTTAAGACTGACCCGTGTTTTCCTCTTTCTTCTTCTTAGCTTCTACCATCTCCATCTTTACTATCTCTACCCCCTGTACATCTCTACATTACCAATCTTCCATAATGGGTGTCCTTCAGCAGCTCAACCGCAAGGCCGGTGTTATCGTCGGCGACGACGTCCTGCGTCTCTTCGAGTACGCCCAGGAGAAGCAGTTCGCTATCCCCGCCATTGTGAGTACCCCGCCACCATCACCACCACCATCACCCTCAGTTCTGGTGGTGCAGCGTGGTGCACCACCACAATTCCAATTGCAACCCCATTAACTTAACCTCTAGAACGTTACCTCCTCCTCCACCGTCGTCGCTGCCCTTGAGGCCGCTCGCGACCAGAAGTGCCCCGTCATCTTGCAGACCTCTCAGGGTGGTGCCGCCTTCTTCGCTGGCAAGGTATGTGCATTCTCCAGCTCCAGTCCCAGCTGCAGCTGCAGCTCCAGCTCCAACTCCACGAGAGCTTTGAAGCTAACTCCCATCAGGGTGTCAGCAACGACGGCCAGGCCGCCTCCATTGCCGGCGCTGTCGCCGCTGCCCACTACATCCGCAGCATTGCCCCCGCCTACGGTATCCCCGTCATCCTCCACACTGACCACTGCGCCAAGAAGCTCCTGCCCTGGCTCGATGGCATGCTCGATGAGGACGAGCGCTACTTCAAGCTCCACGGCGAGCCCCTCTTCTCCTCCCACATGATTGATCTGTCCGAGGAGG